AGAAAATGACTACTTCACGGGCATTCATCAATACCCGGACCCGAGACCTTATCCGGTGACGGAAGTCAGGCGGGATGTACTGGGGTCACGGAAGGAAATCCATCCCTTCTCATCTCGCCTAGCGTTTGGCTTCTTCCGCTGAGGGCCCACGATGACCTACTGTAGGCACCTGGATCTTGATCATCAGGGCGAAACGGCGTCTATTGTTACACAGCGTGTCGTCCACTGTCTTGCATTCTTCTCTCAAGAATCCAAGGTCGCACCATACTTGTCACCAAGTGTGTATTCTTTTGGAAACATGATTCAAATCACAATTTCCTCTGTGTACTCTCCCGCGTTCGGGAATGTCGAGACTTGTCTCATCGTGGTCCTTTCTAGGTACCCGCCGGCGCAAACGCGCGCGCCTGGAATTCCAGGGGCTGCACTTGGGATAGGACCCCTATTCCGTGCTTGGCACCACGTTTGTGTCCCTTCATCGGTTGACGACCTGACATTATGACATATGACGTTGCTCGAGGGGACTGGATACGTCAGTCTTTGGTGGTGATCGAAGCTCAGCAAGTCATCACAGCTCAACAAGTTTTCGATGACTGTTTCTCGCCTCTCTGACAGCGAGTAATGAACAGGCTGGAAAATAAGTGACCCCCCGATCAAGACAACTAATATCAGTGGAAAAACAGCACCACTCTTGGTGATCGGGCTCAAATGCCTTGAGATATTGAAAATGTTCATTCATGCAAACCGGAATATCTGTAATTCTCCATGTCCCAGCCATGAGGGGGAAGCATGCACCACCTCTCTATGGGTAACCATTGCCCATGTTCCTTGTTAACCAGATATCATTTCCAAGCAGGCCCATTCCATATAGTATATTTATCATGGTATCATCGTGCCCTCTCCAGTTCTAGATCTTCGTCTCTACCCCCATCTATATCCGCCAGCATCGGTACAGCCTCGGTATCCCTCACATTCGCAACCTCAACGTCCACCATAAACTCCCTTCTAGGTGGCGGCGGGCTCTTCATCAGGACAACCCAAAGCGCGCTCCCGATGATGAGCCCACATCCCGCCAAACTCATCCACCCCATGACGTTGCCAAAGATGAACCGGTCGAAACCTGCCGCGAAGAGCATGTGCGTGTAGACCATGGCGTTGGCCCTGTTTGAGCGATCCATACCCAGTCCAGCGGTAAGAAGGAACTGCATGATGAATCCAAACACACCAAGCAACACCATGAACAGCCACTGCCGTCCTGAGTGGGGCAGCGCGAACCGCAGAGCCGGCTGCTCAAACTCGAGAAGCGGTGCAATCGTAAGGACGACGGCACATACGATCGTGCACCACGTCGCAAAGTAGTTGACGGATATAAGCGGGTGCGCACGCTTGCCTATCCACCTGATGGTCGTGAAAGCTCCAGCGGCGCCAAAGACCCCAAGTATGGCAACGCCGATGGCTGTCAAGCGTTCTGCCGTCGTGGCCTGGTGGTTGAGGCCGGGCAGGGTGGTCGTTGACACGGTGCCGTTTGTGACATTGTAATCCTCCGGCGCGGTGGCAGCGGCCGAGGAGGTCGAATCGCCAGTGAAGAGGGACGCCGGATGAGCAATAAGAACAACGCCGAAGAAGGCTATGACAGTTCCTATCTGCTCAGCTCTAGTGAAAGGTTCGCGCAGCGCGATGTAACAGACGTAGCCCGCAACGCTGGGAGCCAGGAACGTGATGACTGTGGCTTCAGCAAGAGGGAGGTACATCATCGAATACCACATGCCAAAGATGCCGAAGAACCCGCTCACTCCTCTGGCGATGAGAAGCCATCTGACCTCCTTTTTTCCAAACGGAAAATCTGGCGTCTTCATCCAGTACATGTACGCGCAGCAGCAGACCATGGTGACACTCTGCCGGGCGAACAAGACTTGAAGTGGATGCATCCCCTCTCCCTCCAGCTCAAGCAGCCGCGCTGTAAGGTTCATCAGAGCACCGAACAGCTGCGAGAGAGCCACCAAGACGACGCCCTTGTTCATGACCCAGAACCGCCATAGCTTCCCCTGCGTCGGTGGTGTCTGCGGTATCGTAGGGAGCTCTGATCCACCCAACAACGGCGAGGCTCTTCCATTCTGAAAAGGACTTGTTGAGAATGATCGGAAAGATCCGGGGTCGGGCAGGTCGAGGCCCTTTCCGTGGTCTTGCGACCAAGATAATTTGCTGTCTGTCGACATTCTGTCAAATGATCCATACGTGTCTTGTTCAGAATCTTCGACTTGTGTCTTCACCCTGGGGTTTTGAGGGACATAGTGATCATCGTTTTTCTTCGGGCCAGACATGACGGCTAGATGAAGTCATGTCTTGAAGTCGAGGCCGCGTAGAGTACAAAGAGGTTCCTGGTGGCGCGGTGGGGTAGTGAAGTGAAGCAGGCCAGGAGGATGGACTAGACGTTTCAACTCTGAGAACGGAGTGATATCTCGAGTAGAAAAGATCACGGAGAGAATTCAAACACAACTGGAAGCGGGGTGTAGTGAAGAATCAAAGAGAGGACGTCCCATCGTTCATCGGAAGTGGGGAGGCTGGAATAATGAATGGGTCTGTCGGTCACCTTCAGCGGTTCTCGGTTCAATCAGTCAGTCAGTCAGTCAGTCAGTCAGTCAAGGTCTTTCCCAAAGCCAAGGGCCGGGACGCCGGGAAGACAAGAAAAGGACGAAATACGTGCGGCCTATTGCGTGCGGTGTGCCACCCCTCAAGCCCACCACCCTTGCGCATCTTGCTGCCGTCTGCCTTAGTGTGGTGGACCACTAGGCCGGGCGGACAGGGCTGTGTGGGAGAGAATGGGATGGGCGAGAGACGCAATGGACGAGTCACCAGCAGTCCGAAGCAACGAATGCAGAAGTGCCTAGTTCAGGTGGTGGGTGGATGGGCGAGGAAGGAAAAAGAGCGGCATGGGTGGAGTCGATGGGGAGGCGTGGTAAGGTAGAGATTCTCGAGGGTGGTCATCCACAACCACTCGTTTTGGCTTCCGCGCCTGCGCGGAGAGATAATGGAGCCAACCAACATCACTAGCTTGACCTTGACTTACCGGCTCCTTCTGAGTTGCCCAAACATACCATAGCCTGCAGGAGGAAGGCCCGCGGCCAGACCTTTTGTTTCCGCCGAGGCGCCGTCGAGACGAGAAACAGAGAGTGTGCTGCGACAGCAGAGCTGCATCGTCACCTGCCGCCAGGTCTCGCCCCTCCCTCCCTTCTCCCCGATATCGCCAGCTAGTGTGCGGCATGCAACCCAGCAGACCGTGGAACAAACAGCTACCTGAGAAAAAGCCCTGGGCTTCCTGGTGGCCGGGGTGTCGCGTGCTGTGGGAGGTAGTCCACTTTCTCGGCGAGGTCACGCGTGAAGCTTCTACCGACAGCAGCGGCTCCGGTGCCGATTCGGGAAACGGGCAAAAGGCCGTACCGCTCTACCTTGCGGTTGCAGTCCAACATATGCATGGCATGGTTGTACTAAAAAAGCGGCTGAACCTTATTGTGTGCAAGAAGAGACCTCGCGTCTGCTTTTTCAAGTTGTTTGTTGTAATGCCATGCGAGGGTATGGCGGCTGTGGCATGTTGAATTAAGGTCGGCGGGGTTCGGCCGCTTTTCCCCAAGTCAAAGATCGTGATACACCCTGGTCAAAAGTGGAAACCACCTCAGATCTCGCTTCGTTATGCCGAAAAAGTTTCAACGGCGTCATGTCAAACTCGGCCTGCCTGATCTATGATTTGATGCACGCTGCTCAAAGCCCCAAGAATTATCAATTATGCCATGCCTCATGTGCCTATGCCTCTGCCCATGTGTCCTCAGACTTAATACGAGGCCGTTGATCCAAAACGCCAGTCGCTATGCACCGTGCCCAACAATCGAATCGCCGTGCCACCTCCAACTCTCACTTTGCGTCGCCGTCGAGCCTGACCCTCTTGGCTGGTCGTCCCGCAATCTCACTCTCTGCATCGGCATCGTCATCTGCCTCGCCCAGCTCCTCCTCCTGCTTCGCAGCAGCATCGGCAGCAGAGCTCGCGGCATCGCCCTGCCCGTTGACGGCCTTATCTTTTGACTGTTTGCCCCCCTCCTGGTCCGCTGCGTCCTTCATGAGGACGGCCTCGTCGTCCTTTGTGAAGATCTTCTTCGCCGAGTCGATCTCGCCCTTCTTCTCAAAGACCTCCTGCACCTTGCCGAGAAACGCGTCGTTCTTTCGGAAGGCGAACTCGAAATCTTCATATTTGACCTTCTGCCGGCCGGCGTAGTTGGCAGCTCGGGTGGCCTCGAAGGCCATGCCTTGGATGAACTCGGTTACGATCTCGTCGAGGACGCGGATGGTCTCGGGAAGGGGGTTGCGCACGTCGCCATGGGCGTAGAGCAACTGAGCCACTAGGAGGGAGCAGTCGTATTAGCTTGGAGGTTTTGCTGTGAGGGAATTGCGGGGAAATGTGCGTACGCTCGTTGTGGCTAAAGTTCATCTTGCCAACATTTTTGGCAGCGCGGGCGCGAGGCTCCATGATGGGCAGTCGTGAGTGATCGATGCGCGCTGATGGATGTATCGCTTGAGCCTAGTGTAGAGTCGCGCAGGTCTTTGATTGTTTCAAATTGTTTGCTCGTGATGTAGACGCGAGCAGTGAGGTCGAGGAGGTGGAGGTTGAATCGTGAGGATAAAATTGGCGGAGGTAGGACGAACTCCAGATGGAGAATTCACGGTGACAGACTGCGCAACGCACAGGGCAGGCAGCTTCAGCCTCAGTTTCCACAACTTGCACTGTGGGGGTGGCGCCCAAGTATACCTGTGCTGCCGTGCTGCCTTACGGGGGACGCGGAGCTAAGGTAGAGCTCGAGCCACGTGTGGCTCAGTAAATCTCCGGGCCACCTTGTCCACTGTACGGACAGGAGAGCGTACCGTACCCTTGGGCTCTGGTATCGCGACCTTCCATCCATTTGCATCCAGGTCAATTACGTCGCCAGTTCCTGCGCAGAGGGACAACAGTCGCAAACATGGTGAGTCGCAGTCGCATCCAACGAACAAGTCCGACGAATGCTAACAAGTCCCTCCAGACCGCCCTCTTCAACTTCCAGTCTCTCCTCCTCGTCATCCTCCTGCTCGTCTGCACATGCGCATACATCCACCAGCTCATACCCGCCATGATGGACCGAAACAAGGACGGGTAAGAAGGATGCCCGCCACAGAACACACGCTGGATGACGAGAATGCTGATCGTTCGGTAGCTTCATGGGCATCTTTTGGAAATTCGCCAGGGTAGGCGAGCGTTTAAGTCCGTACATCAGCTTATGCTGCGTCGTCATGGCGGTAAGTCTCCCTGTTCTACCGACATGTCTGCCCTTCGGACTTGACTGACAGATGAGTAAAACAGGTCTCCATGCTCATCAACTAAATATAACACCTGTACGATCACGCACGACTCGGCTCGCTGGGGAGGCGGTCGAGAAAAATGAAGACTTGTCCTATGGTTTCGGAGTTGGTTAGGGAAATGAATACGGCTACGGCTTTGGTAGAAGAGGCACAGGAAGCGCAAAGAAGCAGTCATCTTCGGGCCAATATCGCCCGTGTCATGATCGCAGGAGTACAAAGAACGCTCTGCCTAGAGTCAGGCAGGCAGTCTCAAGGATAATAAGAGTTTACGTCATCACCCATGTCGCGCATGTTTCGCGCATGTTTCTTCAGAGATGCGATAAAGTCCTTCGCCCTTAACGACAGGATTGGGAAGCTCTAAGTTGAGGGATTAGCATGGTACGTCCTGGACAACGAGCTATTGTCTTGCGTGTGGTTCCGTATCAGCCATACAGCCAACTTTCCAAAGGAACCAGGCCAGTCCAGTTTCACCGGCGGACTGTACGAGCCGTTTTGAAGATGATCTTTGGTTGGATTCCTCTTGCCAGAGCGGATTCCTTTCGGCCGTTTGAAGATGCCCAGTGTGCCCCATCCCAGTCGCTATCGGGTTCGCCGAAGGACTTGGATCAAAGTCGTGATGCCAGCTGCAGGTATGTCACACAGACGCAGCACGACAAACATATTGCTTTCTAGCCGTCTGATGCAAGATGATGGGGGCAGTGCTTGTACTGGACGGCGACCCTGAAACCCCCATCAACCATCCCACGAAGGGCGACTCTCACTTAAGCGCCGTGTCCAGGTCACATTTTCTTTTGTCTGTGCCTAAGCCTCATTGCTTTTGCTGCCGCATCACCTTTGAGTCCTCTTGCGTCGGCAGGTACGCTCAGAGATACGGCAATGGTCTTTGAGAAACAAACCGCCGGACGAGAGGCATCGGCTGGCGGGGATGGGGTTGCAGGATTGCAGCGGAATGTTCTACACGGTCTTGGGTATGCTTCTCTTGTATCACCAGGGAGCGTACCTCTTTCGAGTCTTCTCTCCAACATTCCATGCTGTGGCGCAGTTTCCGGAGGCTTTTGGAGCGGGAGGTAGTCAATCCTAACGGCATGTTTGGTAACGTATACGTTTAGGAATCCGCAGATTCAACTTGGCGATGGTTTCCGCGCAGCTAGTAGCCTGAACACCAGTCTGGGGAGATTCAGAGTAGTGTAACCGTTTTGAGAGAGTTACATCGTAGCCAACTTTGTTGAACTTGACCTTCCGTTCCTCTCCAGCATGCTTATTGTTGCTTTTCCACCCTCGGCCAGGTCCCTCCCTTCACCGTCCCTTTCACCATCCTCAGTCTGGGTCCCCGTTCCACCAGTCTGACTCCCGGCTATCCTGTCCCGGCTGTAAACATACCTGCTTGCCACCATCACGAGAAGTCTACTATATCCAGCATGAAAAACACATTCGGAGGGCTCACCTGAGGGTAGGCCAGGGTTCAGAAATGTCAGGTGTTTGGTGAACCTGTCTTGTCTGAGTGCTTGGGGCCTCTCATCCAGACCAGTCTCACACCGAAGTCTTCACTAGTTGAGAAATAGAACACACGAGACTCCCTACCTTTCCTGTGCCAGAGGAACTAGTTTTTTTTCATACGTGCTCAATATCGTCATTGGTGCCGTTGTCGTTTACTCCTATTATCGTTACTATCGAGCCTATCATCGCGCAATCGCTTTACCTGAAGTACATGTAACGTCAAGTGTGTACTAACAAGAAAGGAACCAGCAAAGTTACCACGGGGGGTCTATCCGAGCTGCTCGTATTCAGCTCGGTTCACTATACAGCGGTTCAGATTCATTCAAAGCTCAAACCTGACATTGACATGTCCTACTTTCGTATGGTACCGCCTGCGGGCACACCCTTTCTTCCCTTCTAACCTTTCTCACACAGTTTACCGCTTGTGGGCACCCCTTGTTGCCTGTCGTTCACATCCATATGTATTGATCTGAACGGTAACCCGCCCACGCAAGTGGTTGACAATCTGATATCAAGCTGGCCAGAGCAAGACACAGAGGACAAGGATACACCGTCGAGACACACAGGCGCGCATCAGCAGAGGAAAAGAAAACCAAAACGACCATTCGGCTGGGCGATTCACTCGAGTACATACAACACAACCCCTGCAAGTTTGAAGGCGTGGTACCTCGTTAGAAGACTGTCTCTATTTAGTACCTGCTTAATTCCGTGGGAAATACTCTTTTGTGTAAGAAATGACGAAGCGATTCAGGTAGAGGGGATAACAAACAAACAGGCATTGTATTGTAGTCACATAGATTATGATTGACATGTGTACAAATGTTTAACGTCAAGTGAAACTCTCATTTTCTGTCTCAGAGCAATGCAAAAGTGTGCGCTATGTATCTGCATGTAACCACCGCCATGGAAACGCCTGTCCAATCGACTAACCAACGCGATAAGAGCGCGAGCTTGATGCTTTGATCCCCAAAACACCGTCTAAGGTTCCGTAACACCCGTTGCCTGAAGAGATATGAATTCTTGCGAGAAAAGTGGTGAAATGCAAGATTAAAATACTGTAAAAGGGGTATTGTTGTTCGGCCAGACATAGTAGATAAGCCCCCTTTGTCGGGGCGAGTCGGGCTGCTGGCTTCTTGACCAGCAGCGTCCATATTAAATAATGTGACGCCTAAAAAGTCGAGCTTTGCTCAGAGGCAGTTCTTTTAGAACTGGTTCATCTCCATGACGCTGTCGGCCTGATCCTCGGAAGTATAAGCCAGACCCGCGAACACACGCCAGTGAAGAATACCGAGGTGCGCCAGCCGAGTCGCCATGTCTTCGAGGCCGCCATCCTCACGGACTTCGCGGCTGGTCTCGGAGGGCTCCCGGCCATCGCGGTCGGGGCTACCACTCCATGACCGCCCTGAGCCGTTGGCACGACCGCCTGTGGCGACCGAAAACAGTCCGACGCCTGTCAGGCCACGGTATTCCCTGACCCGCCTCTGCAGCTCCACCAAGAGCCTGCCGTGGAATTGCTCCTGAACTTCCTGGAACATCGAGCTGTTGACGTCGCAAACGTTGGAAGCGAGCTTTGATTCCAAAACGGGAAGCATGTCGGACGGAGCGTTGCAGTACCGGAAGATCTGGATAGCCAAGGAGGGTGCCAGGGCTTCCCAGCGGGATTCGTGCCGGCGTGGCGGTGGTGAGGTGTGAAGTAAGGCGACGAGTGAGTTGTAGAGTTCCTTGGACTTCGCCACGGAGTCTACGGGGTCGGCAGGAGCGAAAATCAGCGAAGATCGGGGAGAAGAGGTTGCTGAGCCACTGGCGCTAAAGGCGAGGCTTGAGGGTCGCGAGGGAGGAGTGTTGAAGTCGAAGGCTGGCGTCAAAGAAGCTGGTCTGCTGCGAATCCCCTCATCGAATCGATCCACGTCGAAGACAGCAAGTCGGCCAACGCGTTCCAGATCGTCAAACATTCGCATGCAGACTTCCAAGTTGATAGCATCCAGCATGTCAGCTCGCAGCTTGATAAAGCGCTCCTCATCAAAGATGAAGGTGTTAGGCAGAGCCTTCTCCGAGACCGAAGGCAGGATGAGTCTGGAAATGGCTTCGAAGAACACGGACATCTCGCCGAAAGAGTGTGCCGCAACGGGGGAGACGGTCGATGCGTATCGGTCCTCGGCGTCCCTGTACCATGCGTTCGCCTGCGTAACGTCCAACTTGTTGCCCTGAATCTTCTTCTCGAAAAACTTGCGCTCGAATGGAACAGTACCCTCGATCAGGATAGGGCGGAGACAACGAATCTGGTGGTTGGCGACGTCGAGCTTCATGGCCTCCAGCACGCTCAAAAGGCTCTTCATGCCCTTGACCAACTCCTCCACGTTATTCGTCCTGTTTCCATTGCTGAGCTGGCTGTACATCTGGTCCACCCATTCGTCACGCATTGGGGCGCAATGTGACTTGAGAACACGAGACAACCACAAGGCCAACTTTTCCAGATCCGCAACGCCCCTGTAGAACTGCTGCATCAGCAGATCGACGTTGAGCCCCTCATCCAAGTAAACCCTGTCTCTCTGGGGAACCAAAGTCTGAATGATGTCCTTCACAGCCTTCAAGAGTGATGGCAAACACCAATCGTCCGTCTGGCCGTGAGCAACGTAGAAAGCCTCCGGTTCCCTCACAAAATCAACCAGTTGGTCCTGCAAGGTATTCCAGAAGAGGTCCGCCTTATGTTGCTTCCGCTTGCCCTTGTCTCCATCCAGATTAGGTCGGAAATGCAGCTCGGGGTCAAAGTTAATATCGTGGCGCAGCTTGGGATTGTGCATGATTTTGCACACATCCAGCTCGCTCAAGGTGCCCTTGGTGACTGGAGGCTCAAGAGGGCGAGATGGCCTCGGTGCGGGTGCCTTTGCCTCAGGGACTGGTGCAAAATAGCTGTCTGTCGGCGCGCTCGGAGTCGAAACCGTGGAACTGTTGGAAGATGCCCTGGCCATCAGGGGCGCTGATGAAGGAGTTGACGTGCTTGAAGGCGGGTTGAAGCCTCTGGGAGAGTCCTGGGAAGGTTGTTGGAATTGGGCCTTCGCCTCTTCTTGTTCGGTCTGCTTGCCCGTTTGGGGCTCTGTTTCTTGGATTGGTTCATTGTCGGCACTGGCACGAGTAGAAGTCGACAAATGCCGACGGTTGCTCTCTATGCCGCCTCCGGCTCCCTGTTCGCCCGCCATCGTACCGAACTGTCGAGCGAAGAGATGGATTTCGTTGTTTTTTGGAGGATCGTTCCACTCGAATCCAGTTCCGCAATCGATTCAGAGAAAGCCGTCCAAAACCAATTCCAGAACCGTCGGGTTACACACTCGAGATGGGCGCTGAGACAGGAAAATGGGGCCTAGATTGTCCAAGTAGGGGAAGGAGCTGTCGTGGGGCTAGTATCCCGCAAGAGTGCAAGTTAGCAAGAGTATATCTAGATAGAGGGCCGCAAACAAGCACTGGCGTTTTTGTGAGACGGAGCAGGTCTCGTGAGCACCACACGGATGTGTGCAGGTGCCAGTTGCC